GAGCTGCTGCCGCCAGGGCCCATTCATCAGGCTTGCACGACCCGCCCTCCCCGCCAGCCCCCTGCACACCCAGCCTGTAAATGTCAGCCCAGCCGTCAGAGGGCCCACCAGGGGGGACTCCCAGGGTCTATCTGCCGCCAGTCCCCACTGGCAGCTCCTTCGGTGTGACAGCTCCTGGGCAGAGGAAAGGGATGATTCCTTCCCTCCCCTCCTCCTTTCTCGGAGGCTCACGGCCCCCTCCCACCTGGTGACCCGCTGGGACCCACAGAGACCAAAGCTTCCAGTCAAAGATAAAAAATGCCTGGCTATTGACTAAAACACAATAAAGGGCCAATTTGCATGTTATTTACGTAACCAGTTAGTGCCCGAATGGCCAAACGAAGGCCCCCATCCCCACTGCAGCCTTCATTGTGGCCCTCATCCCCAGCCTCTTCAGCTACTCTGAACAGTGGGCTCGACCCGTATCTAAATTCCCCGCTGCCCTGTTTCCTCCTGCCCCACCCCATCCTCAGGGTAGGGGTCTGCTCCGAGTATCCCTGTGGATGGCCGGGCTCTGGAAGGTGCCTCTCCTCTGGCGTGTTTTCACAGCACCGTGAGAACAGTTGGATCGCCCCTCTGGGCCCCTACAGACCCGCTGTGTTTGTGCAGGAGTTGGAGGACGCCGGGACAGGCTGATGCTCCTGCAGCTGGGCTGTGTTTGGGCTCTGACAGGGGTGAGGGGAGGGCAGCAGGGCAGGTCCGAAGGGTGGAGGAGGGCGAGGGGGCAGCAGAACGGTTGGGGCCCCACAGTCACCGCTCACACATGGTTTTTTTCTCCCCACAACCTTCTCTGCTCCAAGCCTGTGGGCCCCGCGTCGGAAGCTTACAGGACTGCCAGAAAGCTTTAGTTTATACACAAACAGCTGCATTTTCCCACTACTGTTGACTGCAAAGGGAGCCAGCCCCACTACCCTCCTGGCTCACTTGGCCTCATGAGTGGGTTTAAGCTCGCTCCGCTGCATAGCCCATGCACGGGTCCATTACTCAGTCTCCTCCTTGTTTTCCCATCCCCCTGTCCCCCAGTTTTCTCCAACAACCCTCATCCCCCTCAGAAACACACACAGAGAGGTAAAGAATGGAGACCGGTCGCTTCAAATTCAGCTCGACCATTTGTCAGGCGAAGGAACCACGGATGATGTACTGGGGGCTCTGTGCATTGTCACCCCCGTTCTAGGGCTGGTAACCCACAAGCGCTGCACACCCTCCACGCGCCCCTATCACCAAGGCCACTGCCAGCGCCCTACGCCTGGGGACTGCTACAAGATGCTACAGACTGAGCTCCATTGGGATGTGTCAAGGAAGCTCACTGCCCTGGGATCCTGGCCAGCGAGTCAACCCTGGGGCTCGCAGGCCCGGAGGGCCACCTGAGGACGATGTGCAGCTCTCTCTCCCAGGCAGGTCTAACCTTGTCTCTTCTGATCTCCAGCCTGCCAGGAGCTAAAGGGAGTGATACTACCCCCTGGGGACCAGAGAATGGTGACCCTACCCTTCTCGCTCCCTCTGACCACCGCATAGACCCCTTGGAGAGGCAGTGAGGTAGCAATGGAGCTAGCTGGAAGCATTCCCCTCAGGCTTCTCAGTGGTTGCTGCCAGGTCCCTGGACCTCTGGCTCCCTAAGTAAACATGTTTCTTCTTCCCTCTTAAAATCGGGTGAAGTTGGGGCGCCTGGGTGGCTCAGTCGGTTAAGCGGCCGACTTCGGCTCAGGTCATGATCTCGCAGTCAGTGAGTTCAAGCCCCGCGTCGGGCTCTGTGCTGACAGCTCAGAGCCTGGAGCCTGTTTCAGATTCTGTGTCTCCCTCTCTCTGACCCTCCCCCATTCATGCTCTGTCTCTCTCTGTCTCAAAAATAAATAAACATTAAAAAAAATTGTTTAAAAAAAAATCGGGTGAAGAACCCCCTTCCCATGGCTGTGACAGGACTAAACACGTTACCCACATAAAGTACGTACCGTGGGCCTGGCACATAGTAGGTGCTCAGTGATGATGGCTGTGGATATCTCAAAGCAGGCCGGGCCTCAGAGGGCGGACAGGGAGAAGGGGGGTGGGAGGTTTGAAGTGGACATTGCGGCTTCCATCACTGCTGGTGACTGAGAGTCACCTCTAGGAATTCCACACCTCCCTTCACAATCTTTCTTCAGAAAAAGAAGAACCAAACTTTCTGGTCTCTGGCCCAGCCCCGAAGCCTCCACCCCTCACCCCTTGATTTGACTTCTCGGTACGGCGTAAGGGGAATGTAGACTTTGGAACATAGGTTGAAATCCCAGTTCTGCCTGGAGCAGGCTGTGTGACCTTAAGAAAGTGACTTATGTGACCTAATTGTCCTCGGCTATAAAATCATGGCCGGTAGTATCTGTCTCACCGGTCAAGACCCTGTACGTGAGTGCACCGGAGGGCCAGCAGACCCTTGCTCTCTGTGACCCAGGGGCAAGTCGCCCCACCTCTCAGAGACATAGGTCTCTCTGGAATCTGCTCCGAGAACAAGCAGTAATGTTCATAAAGGCCTCAGGGTGAAGGGCGGGACCAGAGGACTCCAGGATCTGGGTTCATTGTAGCTCTTGCTCTGAAAAAAAGTTGGAGCCCCATCAATTCCCTGCTCCAACTCCTCCAAGGGTGAGCCAGATCAAGAAATGGCAGGTCCAGCCGTGAGGACCATGGAGATGAAGAACGGCTCAGGGACAGCATTTCTCAGACCTCAGTAAAATCAGTCACATGGCCAGCTTAGCCACCTGGCAGGCAGGCTCTGCAGTCACTAATGAGGCATCTCTCTCCTGTGTGTGAGGCACACGCACTTGACCCAGGGCCTTGAACCATGCCTTGCCTGACGTGACCTGCACACACACACACACACACACACACACACACACACACACACACCTGTGCACTCTGCCCTACCTCTAGGCGGAACTACGGGTCACCCCCAGCTCCCGAGACCCAGGCTGGGCCCCAGAGCCTAGAATGCCCAGTGGATGGCCCTAAGGCTAAGCCCTGCTCTGTAGGGAGAGTGGAAGAGGCACGGGTGGCTCGGGGAGAAAACAAACTTCAGACCCATTATCCCCCAGCCCCACTCTCTGCTCTCAGCACAATTAAAGGTCTCTAATCCGGAATGAAAAGCCAACACAACTCTCCTCTTGTCTCCAGCTTCCTCTAACCAGGGCCATGGGCCCTGGCTCCTGTTTTCAATACAAATATTCAATTAAACTTTCCTGGAGGGTCCAGTAATTGGGTCCCAAAGGGGGAGGTTCTCTCACAGAGTGAGACCTGGAGACAGTGAGGCCCAGGAGGTACAGACAGAGAGCCACAGCAGAGGAAGAAAGGGCGCCACCCCCCCCCAGAGGGGGTTCAGGTTTGCCCTAATGGTCAAGAAACAGTTTTCTAGAACTCTGTGCCCACAAATTCTAGTTTCCTTTAAACCAGCCTGAGAAAGGAGATGAATCTTTGGGAAGGAACAGAGCTGGGATCTGACTGGACCTGCTGTGGACGCCATGACTTTCCACACGTCCGTGTCATAGCAACATTCTGTCAGCCACTCTTGTCCCCCAGGGCCCCCGTCCTCTCCTTGTTAAAATCACCGAACCACAGACCAGCTCCACCTCCAAATCCTTGTAAGTCTCCTCCGTCTCTGACACAAATTGCTGCTAGTAATAATCTCTTCCTTTCCCATAGTTGCTTTTCTGGAGTACCTTCCAAAGCAGAGGTAATTCTCTCACACCTGTGACAAAGAGCGTCCAAGGTCACCCTGCAAGTTAGAGCCTGAGCCTGACCAGTCTCCCGGGCTCCTGGTGCCCTCCAGGTTCTTTCCACCCCGTTGGCTCCAATCAAGGCTGCACCATGGATGCTTGGGCTCCAGCCCCAGCCCCACCGCTGACCTGCAGTAACACAAAGGAAAGAAACCTCCCTCCTCTGACAGCTTCCAGGAATCCATTTCCTCCAGCAGAAACTTTTCCCTGCAAGTCCTGAGGACACTTAAGGACCCAAGACCCCAGGATTCAAGAAGAAAGACCCAGGACAAGGCGATTTTTAGAACATAGGGGAGAGGTGAGGGTTAGTAGTTTTTATTTCTTTTTTTCTTTTTTCTTTTTGGTTCCATCTCCAGCCAGGCTGGGGGTGGGGGAGAGGGGGAGACTAGAGAAGGAGCCCAGCTGGCCCTCCTAATTACAAAACTTAAAGTCCTCTTGACAGATCTGCCTGGCAGTGTGGGATTGATTCCTCTTCTCCCAGCACTGGCTGCACCTGGAGGCCTCTGCTCATGACCTCTAGACGAAGGACAAGGTTGACTGGAAAAGGAAGAGGGGAGAGGAGGGGCTAGGAGCCCCCTCATCAGAGTGGAAAAGACAGACTCCTGGGCAGCTGACTGGAGCTGGTGCGGGATCAGCACCCTGGGATGGCACCACACAAGGAATGGAGGGCCCTGGGGGCTGAGGCCTCCATGTAAGGTAACTGTAGGTAGATTTCACCTAAACTTTTCTTGGTTTGTTGACTGTCTGGGACTTCTTCAAAGCCTAAGCTATAAGACTGTCCCCAGGATGCTGGGTCAGCATCTCTGGATCCAGCAACCCCAAACCTTGGAAGGATTTGAGGGTTATGGTTCATCCCAAAGACACTCAACCATCGTGACCAGAGCAGGGCCAAGGCCTCCAGCCAGACGGGTAGAGGCTGCCCCACCAGAGCCAGAAGTCAATGTGTGAAGTCTGTTGGGGGAGAGGGAGAGTGGATTGGGAGATGTTCCCCGTGGCAGGGAGCCCGGGAGGCCGGGGCTGAGCCAGGAGCTTCTAAGGGAGTCTGGCTTGGGGATTTACGAGTCTCTTGTTTCCATTAAAAAAGACTGTAGGCCTCAAGTGCTCTGGAGAGGATCGTGATCCAGAGCCAAGGCACAAGGCGAGAAGAAAGCCGGCTTTCTTGAGAGGCACCATCCTGTCCCTTCTGAGGCCAGATTCAGGCCTCAGATGCCTGACACTTTGTCCCCGGCTGGGGCTTGGAGTTTCTCTATGACTCGGGACAAAGGACGTACAGAAGAGAAGGAAAGTACCTTGAGCCCAAGAAGGAGACTCAGGTTCTTGAAAAGTGGCAGTGACGGTCAGATGTGCGGAGATCCTCAGGCCATCTGACTCAGGATGGGAAAAGTCACCATTTGTAACCTTGCTGTCTCTCCAGGATCACTTTTCTCAGTTTTTTCCAGAAGTTTCTCCTCTGTGACCCAAACCGTGCTCCCGTTTCCCCTCTCTCTACAACTTCCTTTTTCACTTTCCATGCTAGGATTTGGGTCTCACGTCAATCCCTTGGTTCAGATTCCACACACATCCCCATTTCGGCAACAGATTGTCAGGCAGGAAGACACTGAACTCTATGGTGGCCAGCGTGACCTGTGTGCAGGTGACACTGACTGTGGCTGCTCCTGCTGATGTATCTTGTATTTGTGGAAGTCTTTTTGTTCTTGATTCTGCTTAGGGACAGTCCCAGAATCACTGGGACTCTAAAAAAAGAGATGAGAAGGGCCCCAGTGACCAGTTACATCAGGAAATGAGCTACAATGTTAGTGGAAAGGAAAGAGCCCTCCTGAAAGTCTCTAGGCTAAAAGTGAGAAGAACATTTCTGGGATCTTATGGGGGCAGGGAGAGGAGCCAGAAAGAAGCAAGCAATGACACTGGTGTGTGTAGATTAAGAGGCTCACAGCCATGGTCCCATTAGATAAGGTGCAAATCCAGCAGGAGACCAGAACTATTGATTGAGGTTATCTTCAGTGGAATAAAAACGCACTGGAGATGGCTGAAATCCAGCCCGTAATCAACAGGCATACGGACTGTAAGATATTTACAGCAATCATCTCCTCTGTGACAGAGAAAAAGAATTGCAAGGAGAAGTATAGAGACCCCCCAGACTCCATTTGTGCATGGTGCCTCCACACCTTTGCACAGGTATTCCACCCACCTGCAAGCCCTCCCTTCCTTTACGTGCCTGCTCTTTGCTTCCCACTCTCCACTAAGTTAGCTGGTCCTTCTCTCTGCTCACAGGGTTAGCGTGAGAATTAAGTGAATTGATTTATGTAAAATCCTTGGACAGAACCTGGAACCCAACACTCAAAGATTATTGTTTTTATTGTTATTCTAGCACAGCACCCTTCACCTACCTCTACACGGATTGGTGGGTTGGTAGTCATATGCTTGTCTATTGCACCCACTTGACGGTGAGTTCTTGGGCAGCAGGAACCACTCATTAAGTGTTCTCATATCCTAAGAACCTGGGATGGGGAGAGTTCAGAGCCTGGTATATAGTAAGTGACCAATAAATGTTGAATGAATATATAAATGAAAAAATGAACACCTATGCACTTTTGAGATGTGTGATGAGCAAAACACGTGCCTGCTACCAGAGGTGGTCACATTCCCTTGGGCATGTGTTCCTTCACCCCTCACCCACTGGTTCAGGCTCTCCGCCAACAGCCCGTGGTCCACGCTCTTAGGGGAGAGTTCATTTTGCTTTTCTCCAAGGCAGCCAACATCAACAGCAATGTGGAGATGAAAAACAGACCAGGACCAATGAAAGCTGCTCCTTCTCCAGCTGAGGTTCTAACTGTTTTAATTCTGCTAATGAGACCCAGCTAGGAGTAATCAGGAAACATCTAAAATTAGCTGTTTTAATTTGAGCAAGAGGGAAAGGGACAACTCCGAAGGGGGCACAGTCTCTAGTGGAGAGAGTGGGATCCCAAGAAACTCCAGAAAAACCAGAGAAACATCTGGTGCTTCCACACCCAAGAGAGTGCCCCGGATGGACTCGGGATCTCCATGACTCAGCACTTACCCACAGATTAGAACAATTCACTCGTCAATTTTCCCAGAATCCATTGTGTTTCCAGTTAGCGGCCATGGCTACAACCTGGAAAAAATTAGCCAGAGTTTGGTTATGGGAGACCTTCCTCCAACTCAACTTACCACTTTCTACTGCATCATTTTGATTCTCATTTGTCACCAGTAAAAGTTAGGCACATGGTAGGTGCTTCACTGTCTTTGTCAATTTTGTTTTTTTTATATCTTCTGAATCCCTATGAGAAACTTACTGCCTACCGTTTATTTACTAATCCATCAAGCATTTATTGAGCACATGTTATAAGCTAGATACTGAGGTAGGGACAAGGGCTTCACACAAAGAGGAAAGAGACACAGTTCTGCCTTAAGAAGCTCAGTCCGCTGGGGAGACAAAATGGAAACAAACAACCGCGCCATCATGGGATAATCGCTACGTGGAAGTAAGGTATAGACCGGGAATAATGGGAGCACAGGCAGAGACCAATCCCGGTCTGCCTAAGGAGTTGGAGGAAGATTTTGCTTGGCACTTAGCACACATTGCCTTGTGTTACTAGTTTCCTTTTTTCTTTCCTAACTCCCCAGATACGAGCAACTTGCAGCCAAAGAATGTCTTCTAATTATTGATCTTCCCATCTTCACAGAACCTTTCACACAGTGAGTGTCCAATAAATGTTTTTCCTTGGAGATTGCTTAAGAATGTGGGCAAGTTGCATTATAGCAAATGGTGACTGTTTCCGTTCCTTTGAGAATCTAGAAAAGTAGTTGCAACTGCAGGGGAAAAGAATTAGGGCTCCTGGACCAACTAATGGATGACCCAGTGGGTTACAGGAGCTCCCTTCTTTGAGATGCTGCGGACACAGGAAAACTGTTTGTGTGTCCACAGCAGTTGAGATCCGGTACCCCCTAAGGACATGACAATGGATTAGATGAACTTCCAAGGGCTTATTGGCCCCGAGGATTCTCTTGTGTTCAGAGGCCCCCAACAAAAGGCAAAAGACAAGTCCTATGAGGAGGAGAATTTACATGTTAGGGGAATACAATCCAAGTCCTTTGCTTCCACAGCGTTTCTCAGCCAGTCCCAACCCATCCCTCCAGTGTCTTCCTGATTATTCTCCCTGACGTGCCCAAGTTAGGGGCCATGGTGTCGCTGTCACTCTGAACTGCCCACTGTTTTCCAGGCATAACGGCTTCTTCACAACCCCGTGCCCTCTTACGTGCCTGGGTCATCGTCTTTCTTCTTCACCTGACAACACTTACTGATCAACTTACACGTCACCTCCTGAGGAAAGAGTTCCCTGACTTGCCCCTGCAGAGCCAGCCGGTTGGCTCTCTTAGCTCCTCCAGCATCTTATATCTCTGTTGTGACACTTACTGGGTTATACTGGGAGCATATTAATTAGACTGGATTACAAGGACAAGAGTGATCTTGGCTTCAAAGCCTGGACAGCCTCAGGGAGCTCACATACTCAGAAAGGAGCTCTGGTGTTAATAACGGTGTCAGCACTGAGTTATTTCCTAAAAATCCAAGTCCCTGGACCCTCTGCTGGGAACTCCCCAACAATATCACTTGCTGTTCCTTCTTCATTCTCAATAAAATCTCCCTCTTCCCTCACTACCATGCAACACTCCAAATCCTATAAATTGAAGCCCAAAGTAGTTGTCAACTCTGTCCACTTTGCCTTGCCTCAGCTGCCACAGCCTTAGTTTCAGGAGTTCGTGCCCTGAATGCACGGGTGCATCACCTAGAGAGCTTTTACCACCTTCCAGCGGTTTCCCTCTGCTCTTAGTTTAGAGACCACATCCTCACCTGGACCCCAAGACCCTCGCCAGCCACTCCAGCCTCGCGTGGGCCCCTCCCCTACGCTCACCATCCTGCCCTTTCTGCCCCTTACATGGGCCGTGCCCTTTCCTCCTTGGGGTCTTCTCAGAGGTTGTATCCTCCAGCTGGAGAACTCTTTCCCTTTCTCCCCACCTGAGGAATGCCTTCCCCTCTTCTCCAAGAGGCACTAGAGGTTAAGAGGTCTGGATTCAAATCCTGGCCCCAGGACTACATCCTCAGCATCGGTGGCCTCGAGCATGTCACATGCTGTCAAAGCCACGCTTTCTTCATCATCGTGTTCAATGCACACTTTTTTGGTTTATTTCAGGTGAATCCGAATGCCTCTGTCTGGGTTCCTAAACAGACCCCTGCCTGGAGCCTCCTCCCCTCTTCCAGTGTTTGGGGCACTGGATCACCTCCAGCCTTCCCCAAACTGGGCGATTTACAGCTAGAGAATCGTGACTTCCTCTCTCTCTGCGACCCTCCCCCCCCCATAAAAAAAGCAGAAAGCAAGTTGGACATCAAAAGCGTCTTTAAAACCAACATTTTGATGACTTAAGAGTAAATGAATGAGAACCATACGGCTTGAATTTCCTTTATGATACACAAGGGCTCTTTCTGGACTCACTTTCCATCGCTGCCAAGCTAATGATGAGAGTGCAAGCGGCCCAAGCCCCACATCATCGACAGATGGCTCCCCATATTTGGAAAATCTTCACGTGGCCGAGGGAGGAAATTGCCAGCCCCTCCAAATCAGCTATGCGCCCAGTGGTGCTCTTGCCTCTGCTTCTACGCTCCATCCCCGTCAGAAAGAAATTCCACGCCCAGTGGCCCCAAGGCCCCAGGGCAGGCAGAGATGCCTTCCTGGAGCCGGCAGCCGGGGGCGTAGCAGAAAGAGCACAGGACCTCAAAAAGATCGAGAGGCCTGGATGCCAGGCCGGATTTACCACTGGCAAGCCCGTATTACCTCCCGGAGCTTTTGTTTTGTCACTCGAAGACGGAGATAATGATCCTGCGCTCTGATAACGTAAGGATAAAAAAGATGACATACGACACATTGTCACCCAGCAAATAGCCAACACTAATGGATTCTAAACACAATAAGGGCACCAGAAGTCTTGATGTTCTATGGGTATGTAAGTCAGTAGCTGGCTTCTTCTGTTCCCTGCCAGCGGGTGGGGGGCGGGGGGGAGTTGAGAGGAGATCCCAGCTTCCGAGGATGGCGGAGGAGCCCAGGAGACTTGGCCCTTGTTTTGACGCTGTGATCACAGAAGAACCATCGTGGAGACGCAGAGTTGCAGCGGTCAGTGCCCTTATCCTCAGAGCAGTGACGTCCTTCCTTCCCAAGGTCCAAGCTCACTTTCAGAGTCACAGGTGCATGGCTGTGACCTGACTGTCATCTTTAAAACCCTTCCAACCCTGACTGGCTCTGGCAGATAAAAACATATCTGAGTCACAGCTGGACAAAGCTGGCCGAGCTGGAGGCACAAAGCTCCAGACATCCCACAGCAGAAGAAAGGCCCAGCTGCATTTCCGTGAGCAGAGCCAGGCCCAGGTGGGTGCTGGCCTGAGCTCTGTGGGTGCTCCCTTCCCACTAACATCGGTCGGTGGTGCAAACCGGTTCAACATCAAGCAAAGCCAAGCAAGGGCGTAGGGGTGAAGGCTGGAGAGAGGTGGCGTAAAATGGTGAGTAGCTGCAGACAGGGTGGCTTAGGAAAGGCTTGAGAGCCGCCTCCTTCCTTCTGCCTCCGCCTACTGTTTGCAAAATCCACTCACTGATTTTCTAACCGTCCGTTCTGGGCCAGGCTAGGAGCCTGGAGTCTAGGAGCAGGGTCAGAGTGGAGAACACGACAGCTGAGGCCCCTGTCTTCCTGGAACTTCTAGTCTAGCAGAAGTCTGACAAGAAAGTGAGTCACTTGGGGTGCTTGGGTGGCTCAGTCGGTTAAGCCTCCATCTCTTGATTTCGGCTCAGGTCATGACCTCACACTTCATGAGATTGAGCCCCACGTTGGGATTCTCTCTCCCTCTCTCTGCCCCTCCCCCACATGCACGCATGCCTTCTCTCTCTCTCTCTCTCTCTCTCTCTCTCTCTCTCACAATAAATAAACTTTAAAAAAAAAAGAAGAAGAAAAATGAGTCGCTTCGAGGGTACTAAGATCAAGGAGATGGGCAGGGTGCTTCAGGAACACACGCCTACTGGGCCTAATGGGAATGGGTCTGGGTAATCAGGGGAGGCTTCCTAGAGGCGGTGATAGTGAAGCTGAGACTGAAGGATCAAGAGCAGTTTGCTAGGCAAAGGGGTATGGGAGGGTGAGGGTGAGAGGAGGAGCTGAGAGTGTTAAGAGCTGTCTAGGTACAGGGAACCACATGTGCAAAGGCCCTAGTCAACACACTGACTTCGAGAGATTTCTTTTTTTGGCTCCCTTTTCCCTCCCCGCATTTTCAGGTTTGCAGATGGATACAGACTTGAGTGTCAATGTCTGAGTTATTCTCCACGGGGTTCCTGGTCACCTTGCAAACTGGTCCATGTGGCAAGATACAGTTGGGATAGACGAGGTCACCTCACCTCACATGTTAGAATTTTCACTCTGACACAGGGAGATCCCTACTTCCGTATGCTTCTTCGTGTTTATTGCTTCAATCGTATTATCCCCATGTCTTTCCTTCCATAATTTTAAGGATTGATTGGGATGAAGACATAGGGATTATAAACCGTCATGGTTAAAAACATGTGCTGGAGTCAGATAGACGAGTTCAAATCCCTTTTGCACAATGTATTCATTCTTGTAACCTTGGCAAAAGGAATTAATCTCTCTAATGCTCAGTTGCTCTGTCTGTAAAATGGAATTAATAAGAGTGCCTACCTCCTAAATTGTGAGGATTAAAGAGGGAAATTTCCATGTCAAGTGATCAGATTCGTGCTGGCACATGCTGAGTACACAGCGTGTGTTGGCTCTTTTGGAGAAGGTCAGAGACTCTTAGATGGGGCTGAGAACAACTGAAACTCCTTGGTCAAAAAAATCTGTGGGTGCCTGAGGGGCTCAGTCGGTTAAGTGTCTGACTTTGGCTTAGGGCATGATCTCAGGGTTCACGAGGTCGAGCCCCACGTCGGGATCAGTGCTGACAGCTCAGAGCCTGGAGCCTGTGTCTCCCTCTCTCTCTGTCCTTCCCCTGCTCGTACATTCTCTCTCTCTCTCTCTCCCTCAAAAATAGATAAAACATTAAAAATTTTTGAAAAAAAAAGAAAAAGAAAATCCAGATCTTAGTAGGTTGGACCTAGAGGGCAAGTAAGGCAAGATAAAATTTAATAAGAGGAAATGCAAGGTCCTGCCCTCAGATCTCTCTCTCAATCTTATGCACATACACATACACATCCCCCCCACACTATACCACACACACACACACACACACCCCACAGACACACCCCACAGCCCCCCGCCACACCTACCCCATATACACACCCCACCCCCCATACATACTACTACCATGGACACACTACCCCTCCCCCCCACACACACACATCACAGAACTTTATAAGGGTGAGAGAGGGAAGCCAGCAGAACACATGTGGGAAGAAGAACTTCCAGATTTTAGTAGGTTGTGGGAACAATGGAAGGCTGCTGCTAAAAATCTCAGGTTGCATTCTGTGGAGAAAAGCAGCATCTAGCCCAAGGAGTGTGCTAATGCAGCTCTGCTCCGTGGGTCAAGCCGCCCTGAAGTCTTGCTGTAAGCTCCGGGGGTCACATTAAAAGAGATCTACTCCAAGTAGACACCGGGATGGTGCAAGCAGTGCAAATCATGGTTTGGGAAGAATGTTTCAAGGCTCTGGCATTGGAAGCCCAGAGAAGAAAAGGTCAAAATGCTGTCTTTCATTTACACATTCAAGTATTTATGGAATGGCCCTTAAGTGCCAGGTAATACCTATGTTACCATAAACATTACTATGGCAGTCAAAAAGCTTCCATCTTCAAGGTAATACTCTGGTGCTCAGCCCAGGTCCCCTGTTCCAAGGCTGACAAACCCACCACCCCCAGCTGCTGGGAATGTGGGGCACTGGTGGCCTCTCTGGGAAATGCCCCAGTCAAGGTCGTGCTTCCTCCCTGGGGCTGGCCTAATGTGGAGAACGAAGGGCCCGGCCATCTTGCCGCAGCAGAGACGGCTTCGAAGAGCCATCCCGGCTCCAGAGAGGCGATGATGGGATGGCCTTCTCCCTGCTCAATCCCACCGTGCTCATTTTCTTGCAGGGGTGTCTCGCCATTAGAATCTGGCCGGTGGGTGAGTGCTGACAAGGAAGCAGGCCGCGGTAATAGTTGACGGATATGGGAATAGGGTGCGGCACGGAGTGCTACGGAAGTACCTAGGCAGTGCACCTAATCCAGACTTGGGGGGTCAAGAAGGCTTCCCAGAAGAGATATTCTGTGAAACGAGATCCAACATGGAGCACGGCCAGGGTGGAGAGAAAATGATTTTGAACCTCCAGCAAGTCCCGATGCAACAGCAAAGACCTAGGCTCCTCATTGTCAGCCCGAGGCTGGGAGGAAGGTCTCAGGGGAGTGGCCCCGCTCAGCCTGTGCTCCTCCAGGGTCTCTGCCCAGAGCCAGGGCCCCTTGCTTGCAACTGCCAGCCTCACCAGCTCATCCGAGTGCCCTGGGACAGGGAGTGGGCTCACTTTTTGAGGATCCAGTTTTCCCGTCCCCATCCCCCACCCCATCCTAAGTGAGGCTGAGCTCAGAGATTAAAAACTCATTCCCTTACAGGAAATGAAGAGCTGTTGCCAGGACCGCCCAGCCGAGAAAATATGAACAAGATGCTTCATGCCGCCGATGAACTCCCAACTCTTACAGCTCCAGGGAAGGCAGGGAGATGGGCCACTGTCCCAGGCACTCCCATATTTGTTCTCAGCTGGGCTTCACCCCGAGTGTGGGAAGTCCCTGGCTGTGGTTGCTATAACGTCCTGGCTCCCATGGCTCTAAATTGCCCCGTTCAAGAGGCAGAGCGGCATGGGAGTGATTTGGAGAGGGCGCTGGGTTCTAGACCAGCCTTGCAACCAACGGGTTGTATGAACTTGGGTGAGTCAGTTCAGCTCTCCAGGCCCAGGTAATAAGATTGTTGGATTCCTGGATTTCTAAGATTTCTTCCATCCAATTCTGATTTTTGAGGAAGGAAATGGAAAAGTTTACCGATATGACCGGGATCTCACAGCCCACCAGCTGAGATGTCCAACCCCCCAGTCCAATTTCTACTTCTCTTCTTCCAAGGAGAGGGGAGGACCCTGGGGAAATGAGTGAAATGTCTCTTCAAAACCACTCTGGTGTTTCCCCCGGCCCACAGGTCAAGGTGAAGACTCATGAAAGCTTTAGACAGACAAGGCAGATTTTTCCTTACAGGTTGGTACGCTTACTTGGGTAGCTTCCTGCCCGGATTCTCTTGCCCAGACTCCTGTCTACATTCTCAGTACCACGAGCCCTCTTCAAAGGTCCCCCATTGCTCCCGCCCTACGTGCCAGATGAACCGTCCTAAGATTTAGGTAATAGATGTCCTTGATGGTCTCTGGCATTTATTTCTTCATCAGGAATTGGATCAAATAAGTTGGCAAACACTTATTAACTACTAACTGTATATCTACATGCTAGGGACTATGGGGCTAGCCAAGAATAGTCTAGTCCCTACTGTGAGTGGGGCATAGACAATTGGGAAACGTGTGTTCTCTTGTCCTTTATTGTCTCCCCACTTCCAGTTGTCAGTTACTAGGTGTTATCCCTTAAATTAGGGGTGTCCAGATGGCCACATTTTCCAGGATGGATGAGAAGCTCAGCTAGGACAAGGCTCCCTCAAACAGGTGCTCCCAGGCTAAGATGTAGACTTCTGTAGATGATAACAGACAGCTATTATAGCCCTCTCATGAGTGACTCCAACAGCATGATGCTGTGGTTGAAACTCACAGGTTCGGGAGCTCACAAATACCTTAGGAAGTGTTAAAGTTGGCTTCCCTCTGTCCTCTAAGTATAAGTAGGACAACTACTAATGTGCAGGTTGCGCACTGCACAAGGGCACCAGTTAAGGGGTGAATGTGGCTTAGGCTGCACTGGACTAGAAGAGTGTTGAAATTCACCCGCTGGAAATTCACAGGCAGACACCATATGGGCTATATGCAGCCCTGCCCCCAAGTTCCATTATGACCTAGAGGTCACCATAGAGGCAAGTTCAGCTAAGACTACAACCAATCACTTGCCCTTCATCTTTAGAAGGGTCTTAAAGTGACATCATACCTGCTTCTGAAGGATTGCAGAGACAATGCCAACTAGGAGATAAGAGTCAGCTCTTTACTTCGAGAAAAGATCCCTTCCCAAGAGTGAGCTCTTCCCTTCCTTCCCCACTTCCTGCAAGTTCTCAGTCCAGCCCTCACCCTGTCATCCATACTCCTAGCCTCAGTGTGGAGCTGCCTACTAGATCAGACAAGTAATATCATTGTGTTAGAGATAGATAGATGGTCACAAGAAAGCCCCCAAAGAATAATCCAGATAGAAAAAGGACAGAAAACCAGAAAAGAATAATATTACCCACCATTGACGGAAACATTTACTTTATTCAAGTTATGATCCAAGTGTTTTATAGAACTGTTTCATTAATCCTCACCACTACTGTGAGGAAGTTAATCACATTATCCTCATTTCACAGATCAGGAAACTGAGGCTCAGGGAGATGAAGTGGCCTGGCCAAGACCCATAGCTAATAGAAAGGTGGTAAGACCAGTACTTGGCCCAATGTCCATTTTCAACCTTGCATCTTTGTAGAGACCTCCTCAAACGGAAACAGGGAAGTTCCAGCTCACCCTCTTAGAAACAAACAAGGAAACTGGGAGTCACCCTTGTATCTCCCCTTCCCAATCCACCACAAGTCCAGAGGTCCAGAGAATTTCAGCTGCCCCACTAGACCGTAAGCTGTACTTGAACAATTCATAGCAAGT